CCTGTAATCTGCCATGGGCCCCTGTACCGCCTCCTCATGCTGCTGCCAGGTCCACAGTGTCTCATGGGTCCCTGTACGGCCTCCCATTGCTGCTGTCTCCATCGCCACACTCTGCCATGTGCCACTTTCAGGTCTCCTCACACTGCTGGTGTGTTCCATTTTGTCATAGGGTGCTGGCAGATTATGGGCCTCCCATTGCTGCTGCCTGGCCCGTAATCTGCCATGGGCCCCCGTACCGCCTCCTCATGCTGCTGCCAGGTCCACAGTGTCTCATGGGTCCCTGTACGGCCTCCCATTGCTGCTGTCTCCATCGCCACACTCTGCCATGTGCCACTTTCAGGTCTCCTCACACTGCTGGTGTGTTCCATTTTGTCATAGGGTGCTGGCAGATTACGGGCCTCCCATTGCTGCTGCCAGGCCTGTAATCTTCCATGGGCCCCTGTACCGCCTCCTCATGCTGCTGCCAGGTCCACAGTGTCTCATGGGTCCCTGTACGGCCTCCCATTGCTGCTGTCTCCATCGCCACACTCTGCCATGTGCCACTTTCAGGTCTCCTCACACTGCTGGTGTGTTTCCATTTTGTCATAGGGTGCTGGCAGATTACGGGCCTCCCATTGCTGCTGCCAGGCCCGTAATCTGCCATGGGCCCCCGTACCGCCTCCTCATGCTGCTGCCAGGTCCACAATGTCTCATGGGTCCCTGTACGGCATCCCATTGCTGCTGTCTCCATCGCCACACTCTGCCATGTGCCACTTTCAGGTCTCCTCACACTGCTGGTGTGTTCCATTTTGTCATAGGGTGCTGGCAGATTATGGGCCTCCCATTGCTGCTGCCTGGCCCGTAATCTGCCATGGGCCCCCGTACCGCCTCCTCATGCTGCTGCCAGGTCCAGAGTCTCTCATGGGTCCCTGTACGGCCTCCCATTGCTGCTGTTTCCATCGCCACACTCTGCCATGTGCCACTTTCAGGTCTCCTCACACTGCTGGTGTGTTCCATTTTGTCATAGGGTGCTGGCAGATTATGGGCCTCCCATTGCTGCTGCCTGGCCCGTAATCTGCCATGGGCCCCCGTACCGCCTCCTCATGCTGCTGCCAGGTCCAGAGTCTCTCATGGGTCCCTGTACGGCCTCCCATTGCTGCTGTTTCCATCGCCACACTCTGCCATGTGCCACTTTCAGGTCTCCTCACACTGTTGGTGTGTTCCATTTTGTCATAGGGTGCTGGCAGATTACGGGCCTCCCATTGCTGCTGCCAGGCCTGTAATCTGCCATGGGCCCCTGTACCGCCTCCTCATGCTGCTGCCAGGTCCAGAGTCTCTCATGGGTCCCTGTACGGCCTCCCATTGCTGCTGTCTCCATCACCACACTCTGCCATGTGCCACTTTCAGGTCTCCTCACACTGCTGGTGCTGTCCATTTTGTCATAGGGTGCTGGCAGATTACGGGCCTCCCATTGCTGCTGCCAGGCCCGTAATCTGCCATGGGCCCCCGTACCGCCTCCTCATGCTGCTGCCAGGTCCAGAGTCTCTCATGGGTCCCTGTACGGCCTCCCATTGCTGCTGTCTCCATCGCCACACTCTGCCATGTGCCACTTTCAGGTCTCCTCACACTGCTGGTGTGTTCAATTTTGTCATAGGGTGCTGGCAGATTACGGGCCTCCCATGCTGCTGCTGCCAGGCCCGTAATCTGCCATGGGCCCCCGTACTGACTCCTCATGCTGCTGCCAGGCCTGTAATCTGTCATGGGCCCCTGTACCGCCTCCTCATGCTGCTGCCAGGTCCAGTGTGTGTCATGGGTCCCTGTACGGCCTCCCATTGCTGCTGTCTCCATCGCCACACTCTGCCATGTGCCACTTTCAGGTCTCCTCACACTGCTGGTGGGTTCCATTTTTTCATAGGGTGCTGGCAGATTACGGGCCTCCCATTGCTGCTGCCAGGCCCGTAATCTGCCATGGGCCCCCGTACCGACTCCTCATGCTGTGACGTTGCAACAAGGTGGAATTCAACCCTACATATGTTAGACCGCCTTTACCAACAGCGAAAGGCCATCACCGATTTCCTGATGTTACAAGCGGATAAAGGTACTCCCCTGTGTAACTTAGATGTCAGCCATTGGCAGCTCATGCGTGACACCTGCCGCTTGCTCAGGCCCTTTGAGGAGGCCACGCTATTCGTGAGTCGGCAGGACTATGGGATGAACGACGTCATTCCTCTGTTGCACGTCCTGGAACAAATGCTGTTAACAATGGCTGGTCAGGTTGCGGTAGACGTGGCGCACAGATCTCAACGCCACATGACCACTGTGGGGGCAGGACAGGAAGAAGAGGAGGAGGTAGAGGAGGACATTGGTGCTCAGGAATTATTGAGTGAAATGGGTGGTTTTTCCACTCAGCGGACAGGAGTGGAGGAGCAGGAGCATCTGGTAGAGGAGGAGGAGACAGAGGACCCAGACGCGCCGTGGCAGTATGCTGTGGAGATGGAGGCAGGGAGTCCCTCGCATTCCTTGGCACAAATGGCCCATAGCATGCTCGGTTGCTTGCGTAGCGACAGCCGAATAATAACCATCAGACAGAGGGATGACTTTTGGCTGTCCACCTTGTTGGACCCTCGCTACCATTCAAAAATGGTGGCCTTTTTCACACCTGCTGAGAGGGAGGCCAAAATAAAGTACTATAAAAACCACCTATGTAGTCAGTTGGTCTCTGCCTTTCTGCGCCAACGTCCATCCTCAGACACTGTGGGCCCTGTGCGCTCGCGTTCCGCTGCCATGGCAGCAGGGGATGGGTGGGGTGGTAGGAGCAGTGGCAGCTCCACCAGCAGCGGCTGCCTCAGTCTGCAGTCGATGATGAGTAGCTTTCTTCACCAGCGCAGTGAGGAAACTACTAACCAGCCGCAGCAGGAGCAGCATCAGGTGGACCTGGAGCAGGACCTCAAACAACAGGCTTGGGCCTACTTGGACAGCACCCTGCCAACCGAGGTAGACAATCCCCTTGACTACTGGGCAACGAAACTTGACCTTTGGCCCCAACTAGCTGAATTTGCCCTTGAAAGGCTGTCATGCCCGGCCAGTAGCGTGGCATCGGAGTGCGTGTTTAGTGCGGCAGGAGGTATTGTAACTCCGCGGAGGACACGACTGTCCACCCAAAGTGTGGAGAGACTCACGTTTGTGAAAATGAATCAGGCGTGGATTAGTCTGGATTTCAAACCACCAGTTCCTGACACAACTGACTAAATCCGCCATGAATCATGCCCCAAACATGTGCCACTTTCAGGTCTCCTCACACTGCTGGTGGGTTCCATTTTGTCATAGGGTGCTGGCAGATTACGGGCCTCCCATTGCTGCTGCCAGGCCCGTAATCTGCCATGGGCCCCTGTACCGCCTCCTCATGCTGCTGCCAGGTCCAGAGTGTGTCATGGGTCCCTGTACGGCCTCCCATTGCTGCTGTCTCCATCGCCACACTCTGCCATGTGCCACTTTCAGGTCTCCTCACACTGCTGGTGGGTTCCATTTTGTCATAGGGTGCTGTATGGCCTCCCATTGCTGCTGCCTCCACCGCCACACTGTGGCTCCACACTCTGGTTTTGGCCCCGTGACTGCCCACATGAGTGAAGTGTGCGTTGATTCTAAGATCGACGGCACTCATCTGCATGTCATACTGACTGACAGTATTATTTCTCTTCCCCAGCAGACTCCAAGGGCATTTAAATTAAAGGTACAGTGTTCTGCACTAATATAAAGGCTCTCTGAAGCCTAGAAACACCCTTTTATAAGTTAAATTTGCAGCGTATATATTCGCCTTGAATCGAATTTATTCCTCGAATTCGCCGAATCGAATTTTTGAATACTTCGCTCATCTCTAGATAGAACATATTTGTAATGGGTAAAATTATTTTTTTATTTTGCTGTTTTTGTCTTTCAACCTTTTTATAAACGTTTTTGGACATTCAGCTTCAAAAGTTTTTTTTTTCAAGCTGCTGTTTGACCTCCCAGTTTTTCAAGGAAAAATCTATTTCCGAGCGGATTTTTCAATACATATAGAGCAGTGAAATTAATGTTTTACATTTCTTATTTAACTATTTCAGCAACTCAGGCCTAGCTTTTTCCAGTTTTTGTTAATAGTATACGCTAGGTTCTTTTTGGCAAAATGTAAAAAAAAAAAGTTTGCACTGCTTCCTTGTAAGGCTGTCAGTCAAAACAGGAATACAAGCCGGGTATCTCATAGCCCTATCTTACTTCCAGCCATTTTGTTTAGCTGTTTTATAAATAGCTGCAAAATAGCCAAATGGCAGCTGGATAGATGTTGAAGCCATGTGAATAGAAGTTTACAACCTTAATTGGTAAATGTTGTTAATGAAGTATGGTCACACAAAACATTATGAACACCCAATTCAGATTATATTTATATATGTACATGGTTTTCAAGACTGAAAAAAAAAAAACAGATATACTGTATATTATGTTTTACTTATATTATTTATGTTTATTTTATTTATGTTTAATCCTCTTGGCAACTATTGTCAATTGCCATCAAAATCAGTTGGATCAAGTCTATGGATTATTTATCATGCCTCAGCAGGACTCCAAGATCCAGGAAGCCTCAGCATACAGTCACAGTGGCAAGGGTTCACAGCCATCTTAACCAAGTTTTAAATGAACATCTAGACCCAGTACAGTGTCCTGCTGAGACACATTTAAACCATCTGTTTTTTTTTTTTTTTTTTTTATTTTTTACTTCCATCCTTAAGTGAAATGGTGCATTCATTAAAAATGCTGTGGCTTGTTTTTGTGGGGTTTTTTTTTTTGCATATACAACTGAATAAAATGTGAATTAAGTTTCATACCTTTCTTATGACCTCATCCCTTTGCATTAAACCACTAATGCTTGTCAAAAGTATTCCTCTTCACAGTAGGATGCCACTTGTCCCCTAATTTTAGATACTGTAAATTGACTATGTTTTTTGAATTGTCAAAGGTATTCATCCTTCCCTCTCGCATTCAATAGTCTAAGTAATATTCCAGAGCCTCCCACACACCTTACCAATATTTTATAAACAGGCTAGTATTGTAGAAGTGTAAAAGCATGTTTGATTTGCAGATTAATTTTGGAGCTCCTTCCTATAGAAAGCATGTCATGGGTGTGTACACCATAGTAAAACTACATACAGGGAACACAGTGAGATCACAAAATATCCTACAAATTCTGCACATTGTCTGGTCACAAAGAACAAAATAAAAGGTTTAGGATCTGAAAAAGCTGAAAAAGAAAAGCTTTCAGCAAACATTTCTAAAGTTCAGCTCTGATTTCACTAGTGAAGAAAGTCACCTTGAGACCCTGAGGGGCCAGAAAATGTCTTTCAACTTTGAGCTGACTTAAAAGTAAAGAACTTGAAAATACATTACTATATGTGTAAACTAGGTCAAAGTGATTTGTGAATGAATACAAAAAACACATGAAAATAATGTTGATGTGAATGCATTAACCCCATTCCCTAACAGAGTAGGTTTGCAACACATTGTATAGAAATGTCTTGCAACATCTTTGCTCTGAAAAGAAAGTGGTTAATCATAAGGGTTAGTAGAATTTAACAGAACAGGATTGCTCTTGCAAATGATTACATCCTTCTTCCCTTTTCTATCTTTCTTCACTCCCCCTTTTCATCCATGATTATATTTAGATTGTTGCTCTGGGGCTTACATTACATTTTTACCAATTGCAAAGCAAAATGTGCAATGTGAAATATAGGCCTACAAGCCAGATCCTGCACTTAAAAATGGTCCAGGCCACAGAAAAATTAGGTGTCTCAAAATCCTTCTGTAAGAAAGTAACTGTCTTTTTTTATCAAAGTCTGTCTGTCTGACATCTCTAGATCAGCAGTTTACAGCTTAGCAACCACAAAGCTGAAGATTAATAATTTAATGTTGTTTAGACAAAAGGGAAACAAAAATAGACAGAGTTGCTAAAGTTGCCAGCTGTGATGTCATTAGTGTTAATATTAAGCAATGTGAAATTTCACTGATTCCAGGTACCGGTAATGAAATTTCACCAAAAGTGTTACGCAACAGTGGAAATACGCCAGCTGTTTTCCACATCTTTCTAAAAAAAATAGCCACTAATAGATTTGACATTTATTTGTGCCTTGAAAGAGACGAAGTCCATGCTAACAGGACCACAAATGTAGGTCAGTGTTGTTGCTTAAACATCACTGACATAGATAATTTAGTAATTTATAACAATGATAATATATCAAAATAGGTATTCACACTTATATTGTTGTTTTTGTATGATTACTTGTTTGTTCAACAAGATGGTTGTTCTGAAAGTTTGTAACACTATCTGCCAAATTGAATATAGCAGATGTAGTACAACAAAAATGGAAAAACCCTGATACATATGCCAAGGTGTTTAAATATACTGTTGGTCTAGTTCTTGAAATTAATGTGCATGGTAGATCATGGACACTAATAGTGGCACTGGAGGTGGGAGGAAGAAGATAGGAAGAAGTTATAGTTCCTACGAACCGACCAAACACTTAGGCTTTTTCTTACTCCTTCGTTTTTTTTTCCAAGCGTCTAAGGCGCTTTTCCTCTCGTCTTCGGGCTTCCTCTGCTTCTTGATGTTGACGGCACTTATGGAAATTTTCTACTACTACCCCCACAAACATGTTGAGCACAAAGAAACTAACAATAAGTAGGAAGGAGATAAAATACAGCAACATCCATGGGTTGTGATTGGTAATGGGCTAGAAAAAGAAACAAAAGTCACAAACATTACAAACTTTTGGACAGTCCTGCCATTCATGTCAGAAGTGTTACATATTACAATACATAATTATTACTTGTTATTTATGTAATTGTAAATTGTTGTTGCATTACTAAAACTTTGTTTAGACAAACTGCTGGCATTAGGGTTAAGCTGAGCATACATACTGCAAATTTCTAGCATTTTTACATCTCTAAATAATAAAAATCTATAAAAACAGATAATTGCAACTAATACCCTTGTCCCCTCTATATCATATCTACTCTCTTTCTGTGTGTGTGTGTGTGTGTGTATGTATGTATGTATGTATGTATGTATATGTATATATATATATATATATATATATATTGGACAAAATTAGGGAATCACCAGGTAAAACAATGGTGGTGTTAGACCACCATTGGTGAACACCAAGACAGCCTGAATTCTCCTGGAAATTGAAAAATATAAGTCTTGGATGGTGGATAATGGAATCTAATACCATTCTTCATGCAAAAATCGTTCCAGTTCTCGCAGAGATTCAAGAGGCAGAAAATTAGTCTGAGCCTGGTTTTTCAAAATTGACCATAGCGGCTCTATAATATTGAGCTTTGGTAACTGCAGCACCCAGGGAAGGTGTGAGACTTGGTATGCATGCTTGTCAAACCATGATTTGACAACACCAGTTATGTGAGTCGGAGCATTACCGTCTTGGCAAATGGCGCTGTCTTTGGGAAACAATGTCTGCACCATAGGGTGCACATGGTCAAGCAAAATTTGAACATTCATGGGTGTTGCACCACTCTCTCCACTTTTGAGCATTCATATCGGTCACTAGTGGTTTGGCAATTGCTGGCCTGTGAATGTTTTGCTTATGGAATTCCCTCTGCCTGGTTTGTGGACATGGTTTTTGGAAGACTGAGATTGAGCTCTGCTACATGTAGTAGTTTTCTCATTCCTCAATTCTCATTCTCAATCCTGCGCAATGTCCTTTTGTCTCTTTTGGTCAGTTGACCAGTTGACTGTGCTTATGCTTATCAGATGATTTTTTCCTGGAAACTGTATATGCGGTCATAACCTTTGATACTGTACCTCTCGACACAAATAAATTGGCAACTTCAGTCACAGAGGCACCAGCTAAGCAGGCACCAACAATCTGCCCTCTTTGGAACTCAGTAAGCTCTGACATGACTCCGTATTACTAGCAGTGCACACAGTGAATGACGAAAGTGAGGCTTCCCACCTGTTAGCTGTCTCATCATACAGCGGAAGCAAAAGAATATTACATCACTTCTGCTTTGAATGAGAAACATGTCATCACTTTCACACCTACAGATCATGTTGTGTTTCCAGATTTTTGTCCAACCCCTATATATATATATATATATATATATATATAAAATCTATATACAGTATACATATAAAATTACTTACTACAATTTCGGAATGGTGCAACCTGTCATCTGTTATATGGTATTTCCACACAAAGTCTACAGCACCTGAAAAAATATTTTATTCCAGCAAAGTTTGTAAAACATATAGGGGGAGATTTACTAAAACTAGAGCGTGCAAAATCTGATGCAGCTCTGCATAAAAACCAATCAGCTTCCAGGTTTTATAGTCAAAGCTTAACCTTCCTGGAGGTATTCCCGTGTGTAGCTCGGGGTAAAGTTTCAGCACCATAACCGATCTACACTCGGGAATACCCTACAGCATTGCTCCGGGATCCCTCGATCACTTACCTTGTCCTGCACTCCCGCGATGTCCCCCCTGCAGCGACCCCGGTCATCTCCTCTGGCCGATGCCGGCATCCGTCTTCCAGGTTCCATTCCCTGTGACGTCGGGGCGTACGGGGATGTAACCAGCGGGAAATTTAAAAATGTTAAAAAGTGACATTCACTAATACACCAAAAGCACATAGTAAAACATTACTGTATGAAACCATTTCACATACATTTTGTCCCTAGTGCTTTTTCCTGTGCCCTGACTGCATTTTT